ACCAGTTTCTTTGTTAACATTTTTATAGCATCTTTGAGTTTCATTTCCCTCTTCCTGAAATTCCCTTTTTAAGTAGCTCTTCCAGGAAGGACTGCTAATGGTAAACCCTTTGGTTTTCTGAAAAAAAAAAAAAAAAAAAAAAAAAAAAAAAAACAGAGAAAAGAAAAAAAGAAAGAAATCAAGGAAAGAAAAAGGCTCTACCTTCCTAACTCTGAATGATGAATACTACATAGACCAGAAGCTACCCCTGATCTTGAGTCTTTGGTTTTTCTTCTAGTCCACCAGTACCTGCCCCCCATACGATGTGTAGAAATTCCCTGGCCCCCTTGACTTGTGCCTGGGGCCATTCTGGGGCCTGTGTCCTAACTTCTTCCCACTCTTCCCCAGGGTTAAGTGTCACTTGCCTGGCTAGTGGCAGGCTTAATAAGCATCTGTTGGCGGCTTTCCTTTCCCGTATCACATTTCCCCCTCCTTGCTCTGCTTCCTGCCCTCCCGAGTAATTATCTGCACGAAAGCACTCAGGGTCTGTGTCTGGGGCACTCGGCGAGGCGGGTGGATTCTGTGGTGATGGAGGCTTTCCCTCAGCACTCCTCATTCTGCCATCTTTCTGAATTTGCCCCTCCTTTTTTAAAAATCTTATTTCTTTGAGTAATTTCTTTGAATGTATTTTCGACAAAATTTTCTCCAGAAACATCTTTTTAAAATCCAACTTTTTTCAATGAATTTACTATAAATTTTCATTTCTAAAAGTTCTTTTTAAAGTCTTCTTGTTCTTATTTCCAGTTCTTGTTTTTTAGTCCATTGCAGTTTTCAGCACTTATTTTTTCTTTCATCATGATATTATTTGAATTCTCAGTTGTCTTTTGCTGTGACTGCTTATTTTTGTTCATGGTGAATCGTTTTTTCTCAAATGGTTTAAAATTTGCAGTTGAATCCACCCACCTCAAGACAGTTTTTTTCTGAGGGTATCGTGTGTGATCTGAGAAGAAAGTTTACCTTTTTTAGTTAAATTTGTGTTTATTTCTGTCAGAAACTTTGGATACCAAGACTAAGACTAAAGCTTGCTTTGATATAGGGGAAAGAAACTCCCAACCTACTGGATATCCGGTATGAGTTCCTGTTCTCTAAAACTGAAGAATGAAATTTTAGGAACAACAGAGGTTAAGAGCAGAATATACTTATTGAGAGAAAGAAAGCTTCTGTCTGTCTGAGAGAGAGATAGAAGGGGTCCCTGAATAGGTTGCCAAGGACCCCAGCTTTTTTAGGGATTTTATGGAGCAAAACTACAAGATGAGGCAGGTCTACAGTAGAGAAAAATAGGAACTCACAAGGTGGGCAGAACTATGGCCAACCAATAAGATTATGAGTATGATTGCTCAGATAAAATTGATTAAATCAGGGACAAATGGGGAAGCCAGTCACACAGCAGGTGGCATGCATATGGAGCAGGGGCTCTTTGGTTGTAGGGGTTAGGTTAGTGGCTCCTTTTGGCTTCTTCAGGGTAATAGAGACCTATGTAGAATATCAGTCTTTGATGTTTTATCCTTAGGATGTGGGTGCATTTGTCTTGAGGTCTCCCCCACAGCTGGTCTTCTGCACTGTTTTCTTCTGACTGCCTATAATATTTTTATCTAACTCAGCTGTCTGTAACAGTACCACTCGCTCAGCCTGGAGGTTCCTGAGTGTGTAGTAACTTCATTTTGACCATCAAACTGACATGTAACCAGAGCTACATGCATTATAGAAAGACTTAATTTTCTTACCCTCACAACTGATGAAGATGCATAAGACTTCTCATCAGCTGTGTTGTAGATGGATTCCTTTTCTTGGTCTAGTGTTTCCCTTTAAGAATTTCAGCTCTGCACAGGGTTCTCAGTGCCAGTTTTCTGTCTGGTCAGGTCCTAAGCCTCATTTCCTGTCCTCAACACATCCAGCCATCAGCTGGGAGGGTCGGGCTAAGCCCTGGAGTCCTGCACGGCCCATGCTCTGTCAGGTCCTTTTTCTTTATGGACCTTTGGAGATACAGTGCTCCTTACTTTGCTCCAAGCTCAGCTGTGCATTACAAAGAAAACACATTATATTTAGTGTAGCATTTCTAGGTATATTTTGAATGCGAAAAATTTCCAGGTTTGTAATTTCTTTTTGAATGATGGAGGTAAACACCCTCGGGTGCCTTTTTTCTACCTTGTGCTAACTGCCACTTCTGCCCCCACTCTTCCTTGACAATGTGTGTGTGGAAGGGAAGAGTGAAGACCTATGGTTCCTCAGAGTCTCACAGCAAGGGCATCCTGTGAGAAACAGTCAAGTGGGCCTCATTTCCTCACGATATGTGTCTAACTCTGCCAATGTTAACTCTGACTCAGTCCCCAACTTGAGCCAGTCACTTCCTGCCTTCTTTCCTCTCTCTAATTTTGCCAGTGATCTCTCTTTAGCAGGAATTAGTTTGGCAGATGATGTTGAAAATTAAGTTTTGAGATATGGGAGGTTGAAGTGTGTGAGTATATATATGTATAGTACATGCATGTCTATGTAGGCATCTGTGTGTACATGCATGTGTGCAATGTGTGTGTGTCTGATACACAGGAATCAGGGGCAGATGGGGTGAAAGAGTCATGGGGGATTGAGAATACAGCTCAGTGGCTCATTTGCCTAGTATGTGCAAAGCTCTGAGAGAGAGAGAGAGAGAGAGAGAGAGAGAGAGAGAGAGAGAGAGAGAGGATTGAGAGGAATATTAGAATCACATTGTCACTTCCATCCCACCATTTTACAAAGACCTGATCTCTGATCTCATGACCAGGGCCTTCGTCTTTTTTTTTTTTTAATTTAAAAAAAGATTAAGATAAAAGAGTACATAACAACAGGTCAGAACAGAACAATTTAAGAATTTAAGCAACATAGTGTTTCACTATAAGATAACCGGACATAATAGTAGCTATCATAGTGTCTCTTTCTTTGAAATATTTGAGTATAACTTCGTATACTATAGCATCAAACATAACAAGACAGTGTAAAACCATTCAAGAGAATGAAAGTATTACAGGGTATTCAGAACCAACTAACAGAAAATGAACAATGCTTACTATATTATCTCCTTGTCCACAAAAATTTTTGTTAATACTATCACATATAATAAGATACAACATGATAAAACTGATGGAGACAGAAGAACAAGAGCTTGATAGGACTTCAAAACAAGATGATATTAAATCAGCACCAGCTATTATAATGTCTTGTTTTCTTCAAAATAGCTGTTCATACCACCACAGACAATAAAATCAAACAACCCAGAATAAAACCATTCAAACTAATGAATGAAAACATTATAAGTCTTCAAAGCAATATAATGGAGAATCATGATGTAAGAATTTATGTAAGAATACATAATGTAAGAATGTAAGAATACATTATGTAAGAATACATAAATCATGATTTATGTATTCTTACCATTTCTTACATTAGGGAAACTATTCAGTATTTATACATGTGAGTTTGATTTATTTCACTTATGAGTATGGTCTCAAGCTGCATCCATTTATTTATAAATATCTCAATGTGATCATTCTTTATAGCTGAGTAGTACTCCATTGTATAAAAATACCACAGCTTTTTTACCCATTCCTCAGTTGATGGACACTTAGGTTGTTTCCAAGATCTGGATATTACAAATTGTGCTGCTATAAAATGGGTGCACATATATCACTGTGGTATGATGCTTTCAGTTCTTCTGGGAATATGCCTAGAAGTGGAATAGCTGGAACAAATGGGATTTCCAATCCCAGCTTTTTGAGAAATCTCCAGACTGACCTCCACAATGGTTGTACCAGTCTACACTTCCACCAACAGTGCAGGAGAGTTCCTTTTACCCCACAGCCTCTCCAGCATTTGTTGTTGGTAGTTTTCTTGATCCTGACCATTCTTTCAGGAGTGACATGGAATCTCAGTGAGACTTTAATTTGCATTTCTCTCATGAGTAATGAAGATGAACATTTTTTCATGTATTTACTTGCCATTTGTATTTCTTCATCTGAGAATTGTGAATTCATCTCAGATGCCCATTTATGGATTGGATCTTTGAATTTTGGGGGTCTGATTTTTTAAATTCTTTATATGTTTTAGACAGAAGTCCTTTGTCTGAGGGACAGTTCACTAGGATTTTTTCCCAGTTTGTGGATTTTCTTTTAACTATGCTGGAGATTTCTTTTGATGTGCAGAAACTTTTTTAATAAGATGTGATCCCAGTTATTGATTCTGGAAAGTATTTCCCATGAGGTTTGATTCCTGTTCATGAATTCTCTACCTACCCATATGTCTTCAAGGTTTCTACCCAATTTGTCTTTCAATAGATTTAGTGTTTCTGTTTTAATATTCAGATCTTTGATCCATTTAGATTTTAATTTAGTACATGGTAATAGGCATGGGTCTAGTTTTAGTTTTCAGCATATGGAGAGCCAGTTTTTCCAGCACCATTTATTAAAGAGACTGTCATTCTTCCAGTGAACATGTTTCAGGGCCTTCGTCTTTATCCTGCCCCTGAAATGTTGGCCACAGCACAGATGCACTGAGAGGGCCTGATCATCCATACCTAATGTGGACAAGAAGTGTTAATTCACTCTTTTCCTCTTCTTGGCAACTAAATTGGCTCAAGTTGTAGTGTTTTTCAAAATTTCCTGGAGTTGAGCCTTGGAAGCCGGATCCAGAAGCCATGTTTATCTAGCCTGGTCCCTCCCTGTCCTCACTAGCCTCTCTGGTAACGGAAGGTTCCCAGTCACAGTCTCCTGTAATCTGTCTGTTATCTGGGGAGTCCCAAAGCCGAGGACCTCACCTGGAGATGCAGGAGTTGGCAGTGTTTTCTTTGGGGTGGTTGAAGCAGCTTATTAAAGCCCCTGCTAGGAGGTCTCCCTCCAAGCTGTTCAAAGCCTTATCAGCCTGGAGGTGTTTCTAATATGATTTCCTGCCATTGTTCCTCTGATAATTAAGGGAGGCCAGCGCTCTGTTGTGGCAGTGCATGGCTATTGTGGTAGAGAAGTGGGGTGGTTGGTCAACGTCACAACTTGAGGTTTATCTCCCCCTCTGTGGGGACTCTAGGGTTCCTGGACTGCTTCACAGCCAGACAGTCCAGCCAGCCTCAGCAGCTGCTGGGAACATGGCCTAGGGGTGGTGACACCATTAGGCATGGCTGGGCTTCCCAAGGGACTTTGGAGATACCAGAAGCCTCCATCTGCAAGGAAGGTGCGGTGTTTGGAAAGAGGGAGGAGGGTCTGGGCTAAGCCCTACCTATCCCTGGACTGTGGGCTGGGTCTTCATCCCTGGACTAGAAGGGGTTTGCTGGGGCTGGAGGTATCAAGTCAGGGAAATCCTAATACCCCCTCTTTCTCTTCCTCCCTCTGGGGACCCTGTTCTGCTTCATAGTGGTTTTCCCTCATGGCAATGCTTCATGCAAATGAGACTGGCAGGAGGTCTCCCCTCACTTCTTGGGTCTTACTGGGAGAAGCAAAAGTCCTGCTCAGTTCCTGCTCCCCGGGTTGCTACCAAGGTGGACAGATCTAGGGGACCTCTGCTCCTGGCTACTGCAGTCATGCGGGGATGTGAGAAGTCAGGCTGACTGGGAGGAATGGAGGGAGCCACGGAGCTTCCCCTTGTCTTGGCCTGGGGACCGTTGTCTGGGGAAAGGTGTGTGTGGAGGGGTGGCTTACAGGGGTTGTTACTTTCTTGCCTGGAATTGGCCAGGGGCATTTTTGGGGATTAGCAACCCATGTTCAAGTCAGAAATTGGAGCCCATGTATTAACAATCTTTTCTTTTGCTTTATGGAAATTTTTTTCTTTTCCCCCTGCTTTATGCCTTGGCAACAGTATATACCAGCAGGGCCTATCTGGGCAGAAACAAACAACTTGGTTTTCTCTTGCTCCTTGTAGATGGCTTCTGTCAGGCTTGCTGGGGTGCTGCTTGCTTTGGTCCTCACCTTGCCAGGTAGGTATCAAGGTACTGTTCCTCATACCTGCTCCAGGGCCACTAGAGCAGCCCTTTCCAAGAATCAGCAGTGTGTCTGGGGCTCACCATAAGGGGTCTTTCAAGTTATTATTATTATTGGTACTGGGGATTGAACTCACGACTTCACACTTTCCAGGCAGGCGCTTATGCCACTGAGCTAAATCCCCAGCCTCTTTGCAAGTTATTGATTGTCTCCTGTAAAGGGTTCCTGTCCTCTGACTCATGTTCCCCAGAGATCGGGTGTCTGCAATGCCTTCTCTTACTAAGGGTAGAAGAGATAAAGGGGGCACACAACTGACTGAGGTGATGGGGGCATGAGGTGGGCAAGATGGAATTTAACTTGGGTAGGTTATTAGTTTTAGAAGGGGTTGAAGAGATCACCCAGTCAAAGTTCCCATGGTACAGTAAAGAGACTGAGGTTCAGAGAGGAGAAATGATGGCTCTAAGTGACACGGAGCCCAAGTCAAAGGTCAGTTCTCCTGGGCTGCAGGCCAGCTCTCTTCCCATTCTACTGCACTGGATGCCTTCCATCATTCTCTGCAGTTCTGTTTTTGTGAATGGTAGCAAGGACTTCACACCTGAGCCTGCCTCTGTGTAAACCCTGCACGTCAGCAGCGTATGGCCTGCTGTTTAGAGTAGCGTGGGGAGAAGAGTTTCACACTCTTCTGTGATCACACAGATGACCACACTCTGCATGCTCTCTACTGGAAGGGGGGGGGTTGTGCCAGAGGACATTTAATGCTGTAGTTGTCTACCTGTACACACACACACACACATCCACACACACACACATGCACAAGTAAGGAGCTAGCACCTGGTAGTAGTTAGTATTTCATGATCACAGTGATACACATACTGTCTGATCTATCTAAAATTTAATCTTCTTAAGCTACACTAGTAGATTTACGTACAAATATGCTCATTGAAATCTATAATAGTAAAAACTGAGACAATGTACCTTGAAAAAAGAACCTAGCAATGGGAAGGGATACTATATACAGCTATAAGATATGATACAGTCATGGTAACCATTGTTGATCACCTAGTAATCCCCCCCTTTATTATTTTTTTTTTTCATTTTATGCTATGTCCATCCTCCTGATCTAAATGACTCTGTTTTGCTTTGTCACATTGGGTTTTTCTTTGGTCCGTCTTGTTTTGTTTTTTGTTTTTTGGTCTTTTTTTCAATCTTTTTTCTTTTCCTCTTCAAAGAAAAAGTTAAAAAAACTGTGGAAGTAATGGAAACTAAAATGCGCTGATTGTTAGTGTAAAAAAGAGAGGAAAGAAAGTGATCTAAAGGATATAACTGCAAGTTTACTTAAATGTGTAGGAAAGAGAACCATATTGCTGAGTTTTTCTTGGATCATTGAACAGAACTGACTGCAATCTCACTGTATTAATCTCCACTTTGTATGCTTTAATTTTGTAATCCAGACAGCTGTTTGTAAGTTGACAATGTGTGATCTATTAACTGGTGAACTCTTACTGTATGTTTTTTCTCTTGAAATTCTGTGTTGCTTCTAGCCTTTCACTGTTTTGCTTCGTTTAGTTTTGTCTTTCTCTTTAAATAAAAAAAAAAAAGATATGATACAGTCACCAAAAATCAGGTTAATATGTATACATACATGTATACATAAATAAATATACAAAGACATGACAAATCATTTACAACCTATTGAGAAGTAAATAGAAGTCATCCATGGTTTGCCCAGGATGATCAGCAGTTTGTAAAAATCTGTAACTGTGTAAAGACCCTGAAGTAGAACAAAAAGATAAGCATTACAATGTTAACTCTAGTTTTAATGCCAAATGTTGAGTTATGGATGGTTTCTACTTGTATTTTCTTCTATGTTCTCCATTTTTTCTTTTCTTTTCTTTAAATTTTTTTGCTACCAGGAATTGAACTCATGATCTCACGCTTGCCAAGCAGGCACTGTGCCGTGTATTTATAGTTCTGGCTCCATTGTTTATTTTGTTTATTATTTTAAAGAGAATAAAGTCAAACCAAAAAAAAAAAAAAAACCAGAATAAAGCTAATCAGAACAGAACAATACAAAGCAATGCAGGACTTCAAAAGAAGATTAACAGGAAATCAACAATGGCTACCATAATGTTACTGGACATTACTAACATTTTAAGTTGATAAGGAATGCCATTAAAATGAATAGATTTCCAGAGCCTGAGAGCTTGGTCCATGATTGCCGTGAGTCCTGGCCTGAGGCTGGAAACAGCAGCTGTAGTCTTGTGTAGGCTGGAAAGTGGCTTGCTGCAGGTCAGAGAGCTTTGGCTGATGGTCCCAGCTGTGCTCACCCAGCCTTTCTCCCTCCAGGGACCTTCTGCACTGAAAGGACTCTAGACAGACCCTCAACCGCCCGGTGCAGCCTCTTTGGAAGAGACTTCATAAACACCTTTGACGAGAACATGTACAGTTTTGCAGGCGACTGCAGTTACCTCCTGGCAGGGGACTGCCAGAAGCACTCCTTCTCCGTCCTGGGTGAGTCCTGCCCCCGAGGGAGCTGCTTGCAGCCCTGGTGTTGGGGGAGGGCCCAGTTCCCACTGCACAGCTTAGCTCAGAGGTCGCTCTTGAGAAGGTGGAGGGCGATGGCCTTTCCATGATATCTGGCTTCCCTTGGCTTCTCCAGGATCTCTCTTCTATCAGAGCCTAGTAGATTTCTGCTTCTCCAGTGGTTTCATTCATTGCTCTGGGTGTGGGCTATATTCTGGGGGCTCCAAAGCATCAAGAAAAATTGTGATCTCATTAAGCCTGGTGGTGTATACCATATCTACGATCCTAGTCACTCAGGAGGAGGTTAAGGCAGGAGGGTCGCAAGTTCAAGCCCAGCCTGGGTGACTTAGCAAGACTCTGTCTCAAAATAAAATAGAAAAATGCTGCTGGAGATATATCTCAAGCACTTAACCTAGCATATGCCAGGCCCTGGGGTCAATCTCCAGTATCAGCAAAAACAAAATAAGCCCAGATCAAAGTCAAAATAAATAAACAACAGCAAAACATCTATAAGCACCTTTGGAACACATAAAGCTCCATGTAACAGGAAAGGGTCCCTTTCTTTCTTTGTTTCTTTCTTTCTCTTTCTTCTTTCTTTCTTTCTTCCTTCCTTCCTTCCTTTCTTCTTCTTCTTCTTTTTTTTTTTTGTGGTGCTGGACATTGAACCCCAGGCCTTGTGCATGCAAGACAAGAACTCTACCACTGAGCCACATCCCCAGCCCCAAGGATCATTTTCTTGGTGGTTTGTGTAATTCCCAATATCCAGCTTACACTGAGCAAATCTCACATTACCAGAAAAAGTGCTGGTACTGTATGGATGTTGTTCCCACACCCCCACAACAGCTCTGGGTCATATTGTCATCCTTGTTTTAAAGAAGAAGAAGAAATAAGGCCCAAAGAGGTTGTAGAATTCCCCCAAGACCTGGCAGGTAATAAAAGGTCTGTCCGGAGTTTAGTTCCCAATTTTTCAGGTTGGAGGACATTTCCTTTGTACTAAGGAGAAAGGGTACTTCCCCAGGTCAGACAAGGGGCTGGACCACAGATGGAGAGTTATGGTTCAGTGAATGTCACACTCTAAGTGTCAGTCAGCTGTGATGTGTGAGAAGGATGGCACAAAACCCAGTGAAGTGGTGGTCCTCCGCTTTGGGAGCTGAGGTGGCAATGGCCAGGTCTATGTTGTGAAAGCAAAATTCCATGGCACCTGTTAAAACTGGTAGGAAAGACCTTGTATTCAAGAGGGACTGCTGCAATGGGGCTTTGGTGGTGGAGCTCAGCTCCAGATACAGGGGAAAGTGGAATTTAGAGCCAGAGAAAGGTAGAAATCAGAAAGGGAAAACTACAAGAAGATTCATCAGGACAAGGGGAATCCTGCTGAAGTCAGGCACTGACCTTAGAGATCCTGGTGAGAGGAGGAGGAATTGAATCATATACTGCAGGTGGGTTTCTTCTATTTTTCTAAACTGACCCAATGGAATTCTTGCTAAAGCTCAACTAAGTAGGCCAAGGACAGAGCCCAAGGTTGAGACCTAATGGAAAAGAGGACTCACAGAAGCTGCCTGCAGGGCTGGTCAAAAAGAGAGTGCTCCTGTAGCTCACTCAGGCCTCTGTTAAAGAAAGATATTTACACGATGGATAACAGTCAAGGAGCCGAGGGTTTTGGTTAGGTGGAGAGGCATTGAGGACAGTGTGTGCAAGGACATAAGGCTAGAAGTGTGTTCTTCTTACAGGAGCTGGATGCACGTTGTATGAGTGTGTGCCAGGGTGCTAGGCTCTGCTCCCAGCTCCCAGAGGTCTGACTTGGTAGATCTGGGCTGCAGCCTGAGAGTTTAATCATCTCTAACAATTTCCCAGCTGCTGCTATTGGTGCAGCTGGTCAGGGGCCCAACCTTTGAGAAGCATGTGGCTGGGACTTAGTGCATTACACGGTGGGGCCATAGGGCAAGCTGAAGTGTGAGTCATGACACACACCCTTTCCCCATTTTCACAGGTCTGCAACAGAGCCCTGGTCTCTGCCACCTCCTCTAGGGGTCCCAGCAAACAGCTCAGTGTGTTCCACACTGACTTGTAGTCATTTTCTGGGAAGTTATTGACCTGTACCAGGCTCCAGATCAAATGCACTTTAGTGTGAATTGGTTTCATTTCCACCAAGCATTGTGCTGTTAGTATCAGAAAGACCGGGCAGCTGTGTTGGGGATTGGTGCTGATGTAGGAGGTGTGAGGGGGATTGGCATTACAGGAGGAACAATCCATAGAGGGTGGGGTGGTGTTCTGGTGGGCTGAGGGTGGGGGAGCCAGAGTCCTGGGGTCAGAGGAAGGAACCCAGAGTGTGGACCCTTTGGTTTTGGTTCACAGGACGATGTGAACAATGACATCCTGTTTCCTCCATCCTATCGTGCAAATAATTCGCATTCCTCTCCCTGCCAGCGGTAGTGGGTCTTGCTCATATCCAGGGGAAGGTGTTTATGTCTGTCCTTGAAGGCCACCTGGTACAAAGGGGGTGGCCTTCCTTGATCCCAGCCTCTGGTTAGGCAGCTCCAGGGCCCAGGCCTCGACTAAATGTCTTTCAGTAAGCACAGGTCCAGAGAGAGACCCACAGAGTCCTGGATACTCTTGCTTTGTGGAGCCCTTTTTTCCTAAGCCAGGGCTGCAGGCACTGGCTCACAGGTACATTCTGGGAGAGCCAGGACCAATTGAGGCCTGCTAAGTCGCTGCTGCACTGTGCCAGTGGCTGGTGAGTCTCTACTCTGGAGTGGTTAGCAAGGTGGTGTGTCAAGGCAGACTGTTGCTCCTCTGGGCTCCTCTGAGTTCCGATGGAGGCCAGAGTGTTTGTTAGAAGTGAAGATCAGTAAGCGCCTCACTAATGCCAGAGAAGGCCTTTAGTTCTGATCTTGCTTCCAGCTGCCTGCCTACTTCTGAAGCTGCAGGATGCCTCTGACTCTGTCACTGGGACCGGGACTGACCACGTACCCAGTGCTTTATCATGGAGCTTGAGGTCAGGCAAAGCCTGGGTCAGCTTGGCTGGTTCATCCCTTCCCTTGGGTGACAGCATGCAGTTATAGGAAGTGCTAACCCCTGGAGGTCTCTGGGGTACGGGATCCCTGTAATCCCTGGCTTATATCTCTAATGACCACATGTTATCTACAGCAAGAACGTGCTAGGGGAGTGACACAGAAGGCTGATTTGCAGGTTTCCCCTCATTTGTGGTTTGTGAACCTACAGTCCTAGGTCGGCCTGTTGGGCAGCTGTGTGCTGCAAAAGGAAATCTGGGCTCAGAACCAGAAAACCTAGGTGTCCCTGTGTGAATCAGCAGTTCTTAGGCAGAGTGAACGACACTGCCCTCATTTGGCAGTCACAGGTGTGTGTGTGTGTGTGTGTGTGTGTGTGTGTGTGTGTGTGTGTGTGTTGGGGGGGTGAATGCTACTGGCATCTAGTGGGCAGGGGCCAGGATGCCACTAATTATCCCACCATGTACAGGACAGTTGGTTCCTCAACCAGGAAGCATCTGCCCTCAGATGTCAGCAGTGGCGAGATGATGAGACCTACTGTAAACCTAGCCCTTGGCGTCTCTATTTGTAAAATGGAGTCATTCTTAGCTAGCATTTTCCCCCCTGAGCCACCTGTCCTGGATCCTAACCCGCTTTTACAAAGATTAAATAAAGGTACAATTGGAAAATACAGTGGGTGTTTAAGGTAAAAATGATGACAGTGAAGAGTGCATTGGTATTGATCCCCCCCAAAAGTCCTCCCTCTGGCTCTCAATACATTTGTCCCATTGTTCTTGCCAGTTTCTGAAGCAAATCTCCCAGTCGTGTCTCATGAGAGTAGCTGCACTGTGGTGGCTCCTGGATGTCCTGAGTGGATTCAAAATGTTTACCTTTTACGGCCAGCTCGACTTCAGGGAAGAACCAGAAGTTGGGTGGTGCCAGACCCACTGAATAAGGCAGAGCAGGGTGGGGGTGGGGCTCGCGGCCATGATTCTGTATGCCTGGTTTTTCCATTGTGGGGCACTCGGCAGTGGCATTCACTGTAGTCTTGATGACATCTTGTAAAGACACGAAGAAGACTTCCAGAACTGCATAGCTGGAGCAAGTGTGTTCAGTGTGAGGGAAGAATTCTGAGAGGCGTTAATGGCAAGGTGTTCTTTACTGTAATAAATTTTAAAATGTAAAATTCAATCTATACTTTGGTTGTAAATAAAACACAAAACATCAGAAAATTTCAGAGTACTTGAGGACACGGGACATGGTAAGGGTAAATATGGGAGAAGTGTGTATGTGTGTATGTGTGCGTGCACATGTGTGTTTATAATGATTGGATCAGGAAATAAGTTGTATTTTTACTGTGATTTCTGGACACAAACAGCTCAAGAGCGATCTGTTTAAATGGTCTCCAAGATCCTTCCGCTTGCTGCTACTGGCCTGTTTCTCTGAACTGTTGACTTTCAAACTTCCCTTGTCATGGGCTGCCTTTGGTGTGGGTTGATGGCCCTCGAAGCCCCCTTACCCCATGGACAGGGGCCCCACGGGCTCCATGCAGTTCTGTAGATCACAGAGGTATCTCTGCCCCTAGATTGCTATTTGTATTTTTTTTCTTTTTGAGACAGGCTTTCACTATGTAGTCCAGGATGGTTTTAAACTCCTCCTGCCTCAGCTTTCTGAGTGCTGGGATGTGCCACTATGCTGGGCTGATTGTTTACTTTTGGGTGGGTAGGTAGGTAGGGGATGGTTGCCATGGCCTAAGTCATCCATTTTAGAGTCTTAACTTCCTGAAGCGGGTGAAGATAGGGGTAGCCTCCCTCTCCCATAGGCTTATTTGGTCTTAGCTCTGGGTGCTGCTCACTGGTGCCTCCTGTATTTGCTAATGCTGGTCCCTCCTGAGGCCATTCCGAGCAAATCCTTCAAATATTGAAAACTCACCCAGGCCTGAGTCCCAGCTCTGCCATCACTTACCAGCTCTGTGATGGATCACCCAGTGAAGCCCCATCTGTCTGCCCTGTGAGAGGGTCATGCTGACGAGGAGCCAGGGTTGGTAGTTGTGTGGGGCAAGGCCTTGCAGACCTCCCAGCAGTTTTGTACTGTTTTCTGGTAGGCAGGCCTCCTCCTGCCTAGCGGGTCTGTGGAGAGGCGAATGTGCCTGGATCCTTGCCCTGGATCACTGGTTGCTGGTCACTCAGGCTGGCATGTTGTGTTTTGAGCATCAGCTTAGACAAAGCCTAAGATGGGATTTGATCTTGGCACACTGCAAATGCCTGGGAACTAGGAAGAGTCTGGGGAGGGAATGTTGCCTGGCTATTCCTTGTATTACTATTTTATTATGGAAAATTTCAAACATAGGGAAAATAGAAAGAATCCAAATATGACATTCAACATTCATGCGCTTCTCTTTATTTACCCTACCATTTTTATTTCCAGTTGTTTGGTTTTCTTTAGCATCTTTGTCATTTTGTCAGCTGGGGCTCAATACTCAACACTCACAGTTTAAAAAGGAGAGATTGTTTTGGTTCACAGTTTCAGTCTGTGGACAGCTGGCTCCAAGGCAGAAATAAGACAGTATAGGGACCTGGCAGACAAAAAGTGCTCAACCCATAGTGGACAGGAAGCAGAGGGAGAAGGTGGAGGCTGGGGGACAAGAATGCACCCTTCTAGGACACAGCTGGGGGCCTACCTCCAACAGGGCCCAGCTCCTACCAGCACATTCAGCTATGAACTCATCCATGGATGAACCCAGTGAGGAGTGCAGCACCCCTCAATCCAATCACCTTCTGTAGACACTGGAAATTTGGGGGACATTCTAGATCTAAGCCATTAACCTATAGCTAATTTCTTGGTGTTGGAAAGTTTGTTCTACTTCTGAAGATTTTGCTTGCTGCAAAAACTTGGCAGAGACAATGAATATCACGTCAGACTCCCCAGGTTAGACTGAGGTAAAAGGACAGAATTACAATAGATCTAGTTACAAGATCTCAGTAGACTATTTTCTATTCAAGAATTAGGTAACACTTCATTCTTCACTCTGTAGAAAGAATGTTCCGATGGGTTGAACAGAGAAGGTTGGTTTTACAGAGAACGGATAAGTAGAGCAGAAACAGAATAAAAGAACAAAAAGCAGGCAGGGGCTGGAGGTCTAGCTCAGTGGTAGAGTACCTGAGTAGCACACACTAGGCCTTGGTTCCATTCCCAGGAAAACACCAACTTTAGATTCAGTTCTTTCAAAGTTACTTTCCTGGTAAAGAAATAAAGTTTCAAATTGGCCCATTTGGGGATTTGGCGTCTCTTATTCCTCTCATTCAAATAACCATCCTTGTTTTGGCTTGGTCACGTGGAACGTTAGCATAAGTGACTCCATTTTGGTTTGGCCTGTTGGAGCTTAGTATAGGAACTCAGCCTAATCTAGTTGAACTCCTGTAAGGTGTTTTTTTCTACCCCGAGAACGATGTTCCTTCACCTTGTTTGCCATCTCCCATTTCCCTGGCAGCACAGTTGGGGAGCCCTGTAGAAAGTGGTTTGTGGAAGTGAGGAGGCCCTTCCCTAGCTTGGGTCATCAGAGTTCCTGGCCATGGTGGGAATACCAAGCCCACGGCCTTCCCAAGTCTTCCAGATTGATTCCACAGACACCCTTTCTCTTTCCTGAGGAGCCCATGCTCTCCCATACCTTCTAGGAGGAGATGTATTTCCTCATGTTCAAGGCTACCTTTCATCTGCATCCTGTGCCCTGCCTATTCTTTCAGGACCCCTAAGGTACTGCAATCCCACACTTAGCCTTGGCCCTCACTGGCTGTCCCCCACCCTCCCTTTCTTCATCAATTTCCAAATCTTCAAGGCTTGAGACTCAGACTCTACCTTTCTTGCTCTTTGATTTGGGCTTACATTGTCCAAAGATTATCTATACCTCTATCTCTATCTATCTATCTATCTATCTATCTATCTATCTATCATCTATTTTGTGGTGCCATGGATTGAATCTAGGGCCCTGTCCATGCCAGTCAAGGGTTCTGTCCCCCAGCTGCACCTCCAGCCCCTAAGATAATATTTTCAGTAATTCTATCCTCAAGTACCTTCTAGGAGTTACTTCTGTTGTTGCTTCTGTTTGCCGCTTTGCAATGTATTCAGTTGCTGTGTACTTGTCTAACATTTATACCTATATTTTAAACTCTCAAAAGGAAGTGATTGTGTTTTTAGATTTTTCTTTTGTGAGATGTAAGAGCCCACGGAAAGCTGGATATCCAGAAGGCACTCAAATAAGGATTTTGAGATGAACAAGAAGATGGATGAGCAAGGGAACTACTTAGAGTTCTGATGTGTGCTTGAGTCTTTTGTGGGAGTTTTCCACTGAGATAAGGTTTTTAGAAATAATAAGATTAATACATTTAACATTTTTTCCTGAGTATCAACACTATCTACTCTTTTTTTGTTTCAGGGAACTTCCAAAATGGTGAGAGAGTTGGTCTCTCTGTGTATCTTGGAGAATTTTTTGATATCCATTTGTTTGTCAATGGTACGGTGGTGCAGGGGGACCAGAGGTAAGTCAGAAGCCCAGAATGCCAAATTAGAAAGGACTCTGGGGGTCCTCTTCCACTAGATTTCAGATGAAGAAGCTGGGGCTCAGGGAGGGAAAATAAATGTGCCCAGAAGAAGCAGGGTGGCATGGGAACCAGGTCTCCTAGTGACTGGGTCTAGAATATCTATCACTTTGGGTTAGAGTCTGAACCCTGTAACATGGGTTTGGGTTTGGAAGATGGGAGAAATGTCCTGGAAATATACAAGAAGCCCAATTCTGAGCTTTCCTTTGCCTTCCAGAATCTCTGTGCCCTATGCCTCCAAAGGGCTATATCTGGAAACCGAGGCGGGGTTCTACAAGCTATCCAGTAAGGCCTATGGCTTTGCAGTCAGGATTGACAGCATTGGCAACTTTGAAGTCCTGCTGTCAGACAGATTCTTCAACAAGACCTGTGGGCTGTGTGGTGATTTTAACATTTTTTCTGAAGATGATTTTAGGACGCAAGAAGGTAAGATTTTGGGGGATACCATTTCCCTAAAGATTATTACTTTCTATTTCCATTTCACAGTCCTTCACTAATCCTCCTTCTCTAGCATTTGAGTTTTATCATGACCTGGCTTCAACTTATCTCAGCAGCCTTATCTCTTAGTCTTTTATCTTAAGGCTTAGACCTCTGCCCAGCCCATGCCCTGGAGTTCCTCAGACTTGACTTTCCTCAACTTTTAATCCCCTATAGCAATTTCTTCATGGTACATAGTTCATAAATGCTGGATGATTTGAACAGATAATGGGTAAATACTGGATGGCTCCAGTAGTGCCTCCCAAGTCCACTTGCAGTTGAATGCTAACGTCTATAGAGTGGCTCCCCACACTATCTGAAAAGGCCAGCTTATGTTTGTTCATGAGCAATAGAGAAAATATGGATGTGAACACAACTATTAATCTTCTTTTTGATAATCTGAATCTCCTAAACATTTGATTGTTATGTTCCTTTGTAAAAGCTGAAGATTTATATATATGTTATCATCCCTCTGATTAGAGAACTAGTTCACTATTTCTTTTGCTGTACTATGCCATATTGAAAAACAGTAAGATCATACGTGCTTTTCTTTCCTAGCAATTATGTCTTTTATTGTTCAATATGAGCACTTGAAGCTATAGATTTTCCTCTAATTACTGCAATAGCTTTCAATTTTAATATGCAATCTATTTTCACTTTTATTTGATTCCGTGAATTTTCTAGCTTCCATTTTGAGTTATTTTTAAAACTATAGTATGTTGGTTGGGGATTTAGCTCAGCGGCATAAGCGCCTGCCTTGCAAGCAGGCAGTTGTAGGTTCGATCCCTGGTATCGATAAAGAAAGAAAAAGACAAAAACAAAACAAAAAACAAAAAAACCCAAAAAAACCTATATTATGTTTAAAATATCCAAATGTTTAGAATATTTAAGGTAAACTTTTTGTAATTGTATTGATTTCAAAATAAAATTAGAAAATTTGTAGAGACATTTTTGTAGCCTAATACAAAAAATATTGCAATTTTTCTCTGCTCAGAAAGAACATATTCTTATAGTACCTGCCTGGAAAGCATGAGGTCATGAATTTGATTTCTGGTACTGCATATATATATATTTTTTTTTTCCTCAGTTTGGTACAGATTCTACATATGCTTGTGGAATTAACCATATTTAACATTAAATTACAGTCATATTATTAAGCGGCCATCACTTCCATCCATCTCAGGAACTTGTTTCATTTTGCAAAACTGAAGCTCTGCTTACTTAAGCAATAGCTTCCCATTCTTCTCTACTGGCCTCTGGAAACCATCATTCCATTTTGGTCTCTATGATTTTGACTACTCTAAGTATCTTACATAAGTGGGATCATACAGAATTTGGCTTCTTATAACTGGCTTATTTCACTTTGCGTGATATCTTCAAGGTTCATCCATGTTACCACCAATGTCAGAATTTCTCCTTTTTCAAGATGCAGTATTCCATTGTGTATGTACACTGCACTCTGTTTATCCATTCATCCACTGACTGACACTTGTGCTCTTCTATATTTTAGCTATAGTAAATAATGCTGTCATGAGCACAGCTATGCACATGTCTCTTCAAGACCCTGATTTTAATTCTTGTTGGGACTATACCTAGAATTTTTATTTTATTGTACATAAATTATACCCCTATGGCAATTTTGTTTTTAATTTTTTAAAGGGTCATTGTATGGCTTTCTCTAGTGACTTGCTTTTGTGCAATCCTATCAACCCTATGAAAGAGTTTCAATTTCTTTACATCCTTGCCAGTGCTTGACAAATAGATTAATAGTTGTCATATTAATAGGCATGAAGTAGTATGAGATACTATGCATGGACAAGGTTCGTGAGTAGACATATCTTGAAGTGGGATTTCTGGGTGGTAGGACCAATGTATGTCTAATTTTATAAGAAGCTAGCGCCTTGTTTTCCATAGTGGCTCTACCAGTTGCCTTTCTAACAATGATGCATGATTCCTATTGCTCAAAATCCTTGACAGCATGGTATTGTCAGCTTACTTTTTTATTCTAGCAATTTTTATAGATGAATAGTGAATCGTATCTCATTTTTATTATTGAACTGTGACTGTTACCTTGTTTTCTCATTGTCAGGCTTTGCTTCTTTTCATTCATTTTCTATTAATTGTGTTGACTTTGGGTTTATATTTACCATCTTACTCTGTGCCTTCTACTATTGTTATTTTTCCTGTGCAACTTCTTTCTCAGCTATTCACTTTGCCTCTCCTACCTTGACTGAGTAACCACTAAATTTAACATTGTTATTTTAGTTTGGCAAGAATCAGTGCCTGTTTAGCTATGCCTTTATGTTGAACATATTTTTTGATCATACTTTCTCCTTGCTTCTGGGATCAGTGTCTGTTACCTAAGAATATAGTCCTGCAGTTTCATTATTTAACACAGCAGCAATAATGGAAACACTACTCCTTCATTCATTCAAGGTACTTAGTTTTGTAGGATGATGGTTGTTTCTCACAGTACTTTAAAGGTGTTATTTGCTTTTTACTGTTGAGATGCTGTTAGTCCAATTGTTATTTCCTTGCAGATAATATGCCTTTATTTATGTATTTTTGATGTTGAGGATTGAATACATGTCCTGTGCTCTACTACTGAGCTACATTCCCAAAATTTAATTTTTTTTGAGATAAGGTCTCATCATGTAGTGCAGGCTGACCTTGAATTCATGGTCATCCTCCTGCCTTATCTTCTCAAATGCCAGAATTACAGGAATGCATTACCATGCCCAGCCACTCAAATTTTTATTTTGGACTGGGCTTTACTACATTGCTCAGACTGACCTCAAATTTACAATCCTCTTACCTCAATCTCCTGTGTAACTGGGATTACGTGTGTGTGCCACTAGGCCCAGCAATAATACAACCTTTTACCTTGTGTACGTTATCTTTTGATTTTTGATAGTCTGAAATTTTACTTGATTGTATCTATATATGGATTTTATTTTTATTATCTTGCTTAAGGCTTATTGTGATCTCCAAATCTGATAATTTTTATTTTTCCTTAGATTTGGAAAAACTGCATTCAGTTTTTCTCCTTTGTGAACTATTACGCATATATTGGATATCTTTATTTCATTTTTTTTCTCTTTACCTTACTTCCCTCCTCCCCATCTTTTATTCTTCTGTGTTGCTTTTCAGGTGATTTGTGTAGGTCCAGGGCTGTACTCATGCAAAATCATTTGTGTGCACCTCTTCCCAGGTCCACATTAGTAATGCCATGTTGCTGCCTTGAAATTGGGCATGTTAGGCACATTTACATCACTCCAATTGGCAAATGCTATGGATCAAGACTCTCTTTTCCCCAGAGTCTTTAGCTATATTTTCTAATTCACCTATTTCTCTCAACTTTAATTTACAGATGATGATTCCTCCAATGATTGAAATTTCTTTTTATTTCATTGACTATATTTGTAACTTTAAGAGGTAAATCTGGCTACTTTTCTACTGTATTACTTTCTTATTTTTTTGTTCTATTGAGTTTAAATTTCTTATGTATAACAATAATTTAATACGTATTTTATAAACTATAAAAATGTAATTATCTGAAGTTTGTGGAGCTCTAATTCTGCTAATTTGGGGGTTTGCTAACCCTTGCTTTTAATTATTTTCAGTGTTCCATAGTATGAGATTGTCAGCTCATCTTTTTTTTTTTTTTGTCTTTTTGAGACAGGGTCTCCCTATGCAGTGCAGGCTGGCCTTGAGCTCACTTTGTAGCCCAGGTTGGGCTCAAACTCGCAACCATCCTCCTGCCTCAACCTTCCGAGATTTACGGGCATGAGCCAGCACGCCCAGCAAGCTCATTTTTAGAAGGGTCATATGTGAAATTTTTAATTAAGAGTTACTGAATATTATAAGTATAAATGAGAAGCTCAAAGATCCCTAAGGGCTGTCCTATCATTTGGGGAGATTTGTCTCAGGGGAGATTCTTCTCCCCTCTTAATAGAGCTCACCCAGATCAAAGAAACAAACTTTTTTTGCGTCTCTTTTCTCAGAGTGGATTTTCTGTTGTTAACTTTGTGTGGAGTGTCTTCCCTCAAAGGCCACGGCTTCATCCTGAGGCTCCCGCATCTACTTCTGTCTCATCAGGGCTGATTCAGTCCCAGACACCCGGATTGGAAAGATGACATCCTCTAACACCCCCAAGTCAGGGCACTTCTAGTTTGTGTTTTTCTCCAATTTTTTCTTTTTTCCTTCTTCTCATCCATCTTTTTCTCCTCCTCTTTATTATTATTATTATCATTATTGTTATTTTTATATTTCTGTCTTGGACTTTCCTATACTTTTTTTTATGAGGTTATCAATGGATTGAAGAGTATATTTGTCCATTGTAATAGAATAGTTTTTGGATTTTACTAATCTATTATATTTCTAGAAATGGGGGTCTTAATTCTGAAACATTTTTCTTAATATGGACTTTAAGATTTAAAAAAACAAATATAGGACCTAGAAGAGGAAGTAGAAGATGGTATTTGTTGGCAGTAAAACAAAACAAAACAAACCAAAACAAAACACAAAAAAACCCAAAACAAAACACAAAAAAACCCAAAACAAATCAAACAAACAAACACCACACAAGGCTCTGGTGGTATCTGGGAAATCATCTCCAGAGGAGTATTTAGTTTAGTTTAATTTTCTTTGGTTAGTAAAAACTCAACTGTTTGTTTCCAAACCATTAACTGTGCTTTCTGATTTCAGGAATCTGTCCAGCTTGACTTTAACTTTAGCTCTTGGAAAGTTTTCTCTAAACGTGAATATTTACAATTCTACCTGTTAAGCAGCCTTATGCCCATGGAGTTCAGGACATAAAGTTTTACTCATGCGAGCTCAGGACTGGGAAGGATCTTCAAGGTCATCTGGCTTAGCTCCTTCCTCTCATGAATGGGCTTCATGGGGTGATGGGTTCAGCCTAGGTTACCACCACTTCCTTAAGATAGTTTATTAGGAAACATCCAAGCTCGTGCTATGGAGTGGCCAAGTGGGTTTGACGCATGAAGGATACCCCACAGATTCCAGTTCTTGTCCATTTGGCTTCTCTTATATTATTAGGTTTTTGTAGCTGCCAAAAATCACCATGATGCTAGTGGCTTAAATGACACAAAGTTACTCTCTAACAATTCTGAATGCCAGAGCTCAGAACTAAGGCACTGGCAGAGCTTCACTGCTTCTGTGGACTCTAGGGAAGATCCACTCCTTCCTCTTCTAGCTTCTGAAGGTGACCTTTGACCCGTGAGCGCTTCGTTCCACTCTCAGTCTCCACAGTATCTTATCTGTTGATGCAATCTCCTCTACCTGTCACGTTAAACATGTGTGCTTGTATTTAGGGCCCATCCAAATAGCCCAAAAGAAGCGCCTCCTCCAAAGCTCCTTAACTTAATGACATCATCAGTTACATAAGATAATATTTACAGGATACTAAGAAGTAAATACATCTGTGAAAGGGAATTGTTTTTTCCTGTCAAATCCCAGAAATTAACTGACTATAGTTCTAATACTTGAGTTTTCTTTTTTTCCCAATGTAATTTATTTCCTATTCCCAAGAGCATTATTCAACCTTAAAACATGCTTCATTCTTCCGGACCTGGCTCTGCAAAGGACTGCTCATGTCAATACTGCCAAGGCAGCAGTCCCACACTACTACCTGTGTAATAAAGATTCACAGGGCTAGCAGGTAGTTGCTCTGCAGTGGACCGTTTAGGCTCAGAGAGCCCTCACAGTCTACTGTGGGTAGCTGACAGCAGCATAAATGCTACAAGCATCAAAGCACAGATGCTGTGAGAGTCTGGAGGATGCTGTGACTGAGGATTTAAGTCCTATGTCACAGCCTACTTTCACGCCAAAAAAAGTTTTGAGCATTTATAATGCATTGTATAAGAATATAGAGATGAGATACAGCCCACACCCTTCATTAAGAAGCCACTGTTGAATAGAAGATGAATATAATTAAAAAGGATACTAAAACAAAGGAAAGTGAGAGTTATGGCATAGGGACACCTACAGGTATGAGGGGGCACAGAGAGGGGGTACCCTCAGCCAGGGTGGGGTGAAGAAGGGAGAAGAACCAGTGCAGAGATGCTCCTGGGAGGAAGTGGTTGCATCTTGAGCTGCATCCCAAAGTATGAATGAAGCTAGTCAAGGCAATAGAAGGAAGGAGGATGGCTCACACAGAGAGAGAATGCTTTGTAGAGGCATAAATGAGATCAGATGCATCTTCCTAATCAAGCTTCATGTTGCCTCTCATTGCATCTATCTGTCCATCCATCCATCTATGCATGCATCCACCCACCCACTCATCCATCCCTCTCCTTTACTGAGCTCTAATGCCCATGCCCTGTTGAGCTATGCTGAGCATTGTGTAAAAGGTCTTCCCCACTCCAAACGCCTGTGGTCTAATTTAGCAGAAGTTTTCTTCAGGTAGCAGCGCCTCTAGACCTTTCACTCCACATAGCTAAAGCATCATTTTTCTGACACTGTTCCTCAGGGATGTTGACCTCAGACCCCTATGACTTTGCCAATTCCTGGGCCCTGAGCAGTGGGAAACAACGGTGCCAACGGGCATCCCCTCCCAGCATCTCCTGCAACAACTCCTCAGAGGACATGCAGAAGGTGAGTACAGTCTGGCTGGACATGGCTGGAGTGGTGTGTAACTTCTAAGGGTAAGTGGCAGGTGGACTTGGCTTCAAGCCCTTCCTCTAGGGCAGGAGTTGAATCTTCTTTGGGTCCCACTGGCTACTCAGTGTGGGGTTCTCACAGACTCTTATTCTCTGAAACCAACTGTGACTAGAATCCATCCAACTCCAACTCAATACTTGCCTCTGCCTGGAACTCTAAAATTGGGTCTGGGATAACGAATAGATATTATGAGTGTCTCACCCTGTTTATGCTGCTGTGAGAAAACATCTAGAACTGGCTAGTTGAAATTCATTTATTATAGCCCTGTAACCTGGGAAGTCCAAGGCCAAGGTGCCAGTATCAGTGTCTGGCAAGGGTTTTCCTCCCACTTCTTATGTGGTGGAGGGCAATAAAAGTCTGCTAGAGTTGCCCAGCTGTGGGTCTTTCTCTGCAGGAGTTGGGCTCCACATGCTGCTTAAGATTCCTTTCAGTTATGAACAACTCCTTGATGCATGTTTCTGTGGATTACATAAAGAATCCATATGTATTAGGTCTTGGGAAATAGGGGAATAATGAAGCCCAGTTAAGTGGTGTCACCAGGCTGGGTCTTAGGATAAAATATGGAACTGAAATTTAGAATTTAAGTCATCCTCCTGCAGCAGGTTCACTGATGCCTGCTGCAGAAAAAGAATTTTCAGGATACCTCAGTAAGAGGTGTGAGAAGGGCTTCTTAGAGATGTAGGATGCACGTCAGAGCAGAGTGTGACTCTTCAAGATGAATTGTATTACAGTTTGGAAAGGAGAACATTTATATCTCTCTTATAAAAGTGGAAAAGCCTGAGAAAACATGGCCCATTCCCATTCTAGAAGGGTATTTGCCCTTTCTACAGATACGCAAATATGGGCTTTAAAAAAAATAATTTGAACATTCTTTGGGTTTGCAACCTGCTCCCTTATTTTGGTATTTGATGCCTTCATTTTACTTTCTCAAGCCAATTTATAAACTTTTAATATTCCTGAGGAATTTGGATTTGATAGTTCTGGTAGGGAAGGAGTCTAAATTTAATCAAAGGGACACTGAAGTGCAATGTCTTGGATAGCTTTGACCGGGTCCTGGAAATTGCAATCTTAAAAATACAATTTTTTAGTGATGGTCATTTTTTTTCTCTTTTTATTCATCTTTTATTTCTTCTGTACTATCTCGTTGTTACCCAGGGATTGCTGTGACCTCCTCAGTAAGAATTCAATCCTTTAATTGTGAACTTAAACCTGCACCTAAGTAGAGAAACCCAGTCTTCTCCTACTCCAGACACAAAGTGACACACTCAGACCTTCGCATAAGGAGCCCTCATTATTAGCTGTTCCCGCATCCAAGAGTCTTCTCCATTTTCATGAAACAGTTTGAACTCTGGACCCAGAGTACGTCAGGTCCAAAAGATATCCTGGCTTGCTGCTAAATCCAGGGCCTAAATTATTAACACAGGATTTCCAACTTGTAAACAACACATTCCAAGAGGTATTTTTCCTTGGTTTCCAGTAATTCAATGGTACTGGGTTCCCTGGCGAGTCCTAAAAGCCTGTGTCTCCGGGAACACAGCCCAGTACTAACAAGGCCGACTGAGTTCCAGCACCAAGAGGAGGGTGCTGTTGTGTGGAATGGAGAGATAATTCTTTTTTCCAGTTGGAAATGTCTGAAGCTTACCCTCAAGAGTGCCTTGAGCTTCTCTTGCCCCTGGACTTGGCATTGGGTTTGGGTCATGCCAGGTACCGACTTGCCCCTGGACTTGGCATTGGGTTTGGGTCAGGCCAGGTACCGACTTGGTAACTCTGGATAAGACGCATCCCTTCTCCAAGTCCTGGATTCCATGTGTATAAACAGACTGAGGAATAGCAGGTGCCAGGGCCACTGAGAGGAAAGGAAAGAGGGAACCTGTGCAGTGTCCATACAGAGGTCTCCATGTATGCGCCATTATTGCTATGATGATGATGATGAGGTGACTCTTGGTGTTTCCTTGTCCTATGTGTCTCCTGGAGTGCTCAAGCTTTGGGAGGGGATGGGAGCAGCAGTCCCAGAACACACAAGTTGTAAGCTCTGGAATTCATTCTTGTCCTCTCTTCCAAGTTAACAAATTCCTTTTGGAATTAAGCATACATAGCCTGAGGTCAGAAGGAAGGTGCCTAGGAGGTGCCTGCAGAACCAAACAGCCAGACAGGTAAGTGACAGAGCCCGGTTTGTCCTTTAGAGCTGTTTTGTCATCCAAATGGATTTCAAATTGAGCATGTTCAGGGTATTATTGTATGTAGTGAGGAAGAGGGAAGTTGTTATAATTTCTTTCTTTTGTGTCTAAGTTTACAGTTCTGTTGTTGACTGGTGAGTCTCCCACTTCAGTGTTCTGCAGGCAGGCGTGAGATGAACAGGGCTTGGAGAACTGATCCATTTGTCTCTGTGTTTTGCACACAGGCAGTGTGGAGTAGGTGCTTGGCAGAAGCTCTCCAGCCCTCTGAGTACAAAGCACTAATTGCTTTTACTGCAGGAAGTGGGAGGTGAAGGCATATCCTCAGAAGACCTATCCTCAAGTGGAACCTGACTTTAGGGGGCATGAGGAAAGTGACTCGGTTCTTTCCTGGAGACAAATAAGAAGGAGGGAGGAGCCTTGGTAGCCTCCCAGGGGCACCTTTTGAGTCTCCAGCTGAATCCCTGCTACTCACTTTGTCTCTTGGGTACATTAAAATCCTTCTTAACCAGTGTCCTGGGAGCTGCTTAAGAAATTGGGAACCTAGTTCTCATGCTGGGTTGAGGCGACAGATACACCTGACCTCCCACAGGCATAAGGTTCTTCAAGTTCAGAACTCTCGGGTTGTTAATCTAAGAAAATAAGATTGCTTCATCCTTAGCTGATCGTATTGTGTTTGCACACCACTGGGGCTCTGTCATTGGCTGGGAGGCACAATAGTCGTCTCCTGGGAGATGATTAGGGTGGTCTTTTGAATGGTTTACTGTTTCCCCACTGGACCCCAAATTCAGAAGTCTGGGCTGGTAAACGCGGCATCTTTTACCAGCTTTGTCATCTTGGCTCTAAGTGTCCCAGGGTGGGGCTCAAGGGGCAGGGAGGAAACTGCACCAAACTTTTTCATGTCCTCCTTTTCTCTAGTGTTCCCCATGTTCCGAGACCTAGTGGGGATGCATCTCATCCTGACAGCCAGCCTACACCTAGGGATTATGTACACCTAGGGAACGAGTGTTTCCTTGTTGTGCCAATAAGGCCCAGTGCCTCTCCCTACTGGGACTGGTCATGGCCCATTTATTGCAAGCAAACTTGTAGTTTTTTCAGCTTTTCTAACTAAGGGCAGGATTCCTGGAGAATCCAAGTCGCAAATCATTCATATTGATTTGTTGATGACTCTGCCACACAATGCATATTTTAGAAAGAAAGATCTTTAAGCTGTTTTTTCTCTTTTTAAAAAATTTTTGGTCCCAGATATGTCAGCGGAGGGTAAAACTCATGAAAAGATTGTGGTTTTGTTTTGTGGTTCTGTCTGCAGTGGTAAAGCCCAAGGTGCTTTAGGCCAGCTGTGTTCTTATTGTTGACCAAAAGCGCCCTTCTTTAAGAAGGTTTTGCTACCACTTGCTGGGAAACCAGCACAGCAAACATAACCTCACATACAGCATACTGATGTGTTTACAGTGTCCTCCCCTAATGGGCATGAACCATAGTTGCTTCGTTGTTTGCCACCAGGACACAAATCTATTTCCTGCCCCTTCTCTGTTGCTGTCAAAGTGAACATAAAGACATTTTTGCCTTTAGACCCACAAGTTCTTTCCATATACTTCCTAGGAGTTGGTCCTCGAGATAACCTGTCTTTTAAAGAAGACTGAGTCCTCTGGTTATTATTTGGGATACCAGTGATGCATCCACAGAAGAAACTATCTTTCATTAATGTTAGGAGTCTTAGGCTCACGAAAACTCAGAGGTGGATGTGCTCCCAGAAGATATGTAGCTTCTCTTCCTCTCCACTTCATGAACACTTCCAGCAAATCACACCCAGATAGACAGGCTATGCTGTGATCTTGGCTTTGTCAAGTGCTTGAAACACCCTTGGTAGGACCTTTCCAGCAGCTTGTGGGGCTCAGCCTTAGGTGTCCTCCCCGTCCTTTCATTTTGGGCCCATTTGAAGCAGAAGCCCTGTCTGTCCCTCTTATACTCAAACAGCGAGGTTCTTTCTGTCTGGTTGCTGTAGGTCCGAGCCTCATCCATCTGTACTCCAGACAACCCCAGATTTCCTGTTTTCTTCTGATCTCTGAATTTGGTGCCTGTTAGGTGAACAGTTACTACTTTCTTTTACTTTTTACGCTTTTACATTGCAGTGCTCCCCTCATCCCTTCCCCTTCCCCTCTTGTGTGAGACAGCGTGCTGTTCATCTGCTACTTTTCTTGTTCCAGGAAACCACCTGTCCCATGAGCTAATATTTGTGACACTGCTGCTGACTTTGAATAACCATAACATATTTCCTCAACAGCCTAAAGAGGCACATAAAATACCCACTCTGTTGGGGACAAAGCATTTCACTCTGCATGTCCTCATTAAGTGATGTTTGCAAAGGATGGAGCCAGTACTTCCTAATATTTGTGCTTAGAGTGGAGTGAGAAGAGGGCTCACAGGCAGTGAGGAGACAATTTCAGCCCAGTGACTTGGCTGTTTAGGTGCAACCCAAGCATCTCTGTCTCTTCCATTCATTTCATTGGTCTGATACAGATGTCTCAGCAATTGGGGAGGATTTTGTTATATTCCTTTGCTTGGTAGAATAGTTGTGATTCAGGGAGATAGTGGTGGGGGAAGAGCCTGGCCTACGGGAGTCAGTGACTCTCAGTCAAAGCTCCTTGGAACTCAGGATCCCTGAGGAGTTAGTTTTCATGACAACACCATGGTCTTGTTTGATAGCCAGGTGCCCACCCACTTGGTCCAGTGGTACTTAGCCTGGCACTGGGGTTTGGA